AAAAAAAAAAAACCAGATGGTAAAATACACGGGCAATTTGCATAGAGAGGAAGCAGCATGAGTAAAAGCACAGAGGCCTGGAAGCACCCTTGGGTGACCCTGAGGAACTGTGAGGGATCCTGGCATGGCTGGAATGCAGGCCACGCAGGCAGGAGGAGGTGAGGAGGTGGGCTTACTTACAAGCCAGGGGTCACCACGGAATGCACCTGGGTCTTTCCAGGTATTATCTCCCCTTCATTTGTCCCCCTCACCTCTCCACTCTCCCCTCCTTTCTTTTTTCCCCACCCAGACACCTAACAAGGCTAACGAGGCAACTCAGCACTTAGAGTTGCTGATGCTTACCTACTGACCACTGTTTTCAATAGGGCTCACTTAGGGCTCACTGCACCGGTCGCCTGTGTTAGGGCTGACAACGAGCCAGTTATATCTGGGCGTTAGCTGATGCCTAGTGTTAAGCTATAACACATATGGTAAAGCAGACAGAGAAGTCCTTCCAGATCAGACAAAGGAGACCCTACAGATGAATGGGAAGTCAAGAAGCCTTTGTTGGATGGATGGATGGCAGTTGTATTCAGTCACTTCATTATATTGTATTCATTTCCTAAGGTTTTATTTATTTATTATTTTCTGAGACAGGGTCTCACTCTGTCACTCCGGCTAGAGTGCAGTGGCATGATCATGGCTTACTTCTGCCTTAAACTCCCAGGCTCCAGTGGTCCTTCCACTTCAGCCTCCTAAATATCTGGGACTAAGAGTGTGTGTCACCATGCTGGGTGATTTTTTTTTTTTTTTTTTTTTTTTTTGAAATTGCATCTAGCTCTGTCTCAGACTAGAGTGCAGTGGCTTGATGGCAGCTCATTGCAACCTTTGCCTCCCCAGTTCAAGCGATTCTCCTGCCTCAGGCTTCTGGGTAGCTGGTATTACAGGCTCAAGCTACCACACCCAGCTAATCTTTGCATTTTTAGTAGAGATGGGGTTTCACCGCATTGGCCAGGCTGGTCTTGAACTCTTGACCTTGTGATCTGCTGGCCTCGGCTTCCCAAAGTGCTGGGATTACAGGTGTGAGCCACTGCACCTGGCCTAATTTTTTTAGTATATTTTTTGTCTCCCTGTTTTGCCCAGGCTGGTCTCAAACTCCTGGGCTCAAGCGATCCTCCTCCCTCAGCCTCCCAAAGTGCTGGGATTGCAGGCCACTGCGTGCAGCCCCACAGTCTTTTTTAAATTGACAAAAAATAATTGTATATATTTATAGTGTATAGTGCAATGTTATGATATGTATATAATGTCATGGAATTACTAAACCAACTGTATCTGTCACATCGCATACTTATGTCTTTGTAGTGGAAAGATTTAGAATCTATTCATTAAAAAATTTTTACATATGTAATTCATTATTATTGGCTGGGCACAGTGGTTCATACCAGTAATCCTAGCCCTTTGGGAGGCTGAGGCGGGAGGATCGCTTAAAGTTGGGAATGGGCAACAATGGGAGACCTGTCTCTATAAAAATTTTTTTAAACCACAATACATTATTATTATCCATAGTCATGGTGCTGTGCAAGAGATCACTAAAACTTCTTCCTCCTGTCTAATTGAAACTTTGTGCCTTTCACCAACAGCTCCCCTTTCCCCGTCCACTCCCTCCAGCAGCCCCTGGTGACCACTATGCTACTTTATGCTTCTATGTGTTCCACATTTTTTTAGATTTCACATGTAAGTGAGATCATTCAGCATTTGTCTTTCTGTGTCTAGCTTCTTTTACTTAGCCTAATGTCCTCCAGTTTCATCCACATTTTTGTAAATGAAAGAATTTTGTTTTTTGTGATTTTTTTTGACACGGAGTTTCGCTCTTGTTGCCCCGGCTGGAGTACAATGGCGCAATCTCAGCTCACCGCAGTCTCTGCCTTCTGGGTTCAGGCAATTCTCCTGCCTCAGCCTCCCAAGGAGCTGGGATTATAGGCACGTTGCCACACCTGGCTAATTTTTGTATTTTTAGTAGAGACAGGGTTTCTCTATGTTGGTCCGGCTGGTTTCGAACTCACAACCTCAGGTGATCTGCCTGCCTTGGCCTCCTAAAGTGCTGGGATTATAGGCATGAGCCACGGAGCCCAGCCAAATTTTGTTTTTATGATTAAATAGTATTCCATAGTGTGTATATACTACATTTTCCCAATCCACTCATCTGCTGATGGGCACTTAGGTTGCTTCCACATCTTGGCTGTTGTGAATAGTGCTGCAGTGAACATGGAGTGCAGAATCTCTTCATCTAACGTCTTTTTTTGAGGAGGGGTCTCACTGTATCACTCAGACTGGAGTACAGTAGCGTGATCTTGATTCACTGCAACCTCCGCCTCCTGGGTTCAAGCAATTCTTCCGCCTCAGCTTCCCAAGTAGCTGGGATTATAGGAGGGCACCACCATGCCCATGGGGTTTCACCATGTTGGCCAGGCTGATCTCAAACTCCTGACCTCAATTGATCTGCCTGCCCTGGCCTCCCAAAGAGCTGGGATTATAGGCGTGAGCCACTGTATCCAGCCTCATCTCATCTGACATCTTTTTAAGGCATTTGTGCTATATCTGTGTTTAGTCTTCTTAAGAATTTTCTAGTTTCTCTATCCTGGATACTAATCTGGGGGTTGTTTTCCAGAACTCGGAGGTCCCAGAAGAGTCAGCTCAAAAAAATACCTTTGTCAGTTACTGAAGGAAACAAAAGGCAACTTCAGTATTCATCATGATCGTGGGTAAGTCACCTTTGCTTATCTCACCCTATATCTCAATTAATATTTAATAAGTAACTTGGGAACATTGATAACGTGGAGTCAAGGCGAGGCATTTGACCTGCAATACTTTCTCTTTTGCTCGACCAATTTATACATACCTTCTAAATTTAATCACAGTAAAATGTCAATTACTTGCAAGTGAAATGCAGATCAAAAAGTTCTTGTTCTCCTGCACTTCAGCCTGGGAACAGAGTGAGACCTTGTCTCTTTTAAAACAAGCTATTATTCTCAATACCTAGAATTTTAAATCTAGGGAATGAATACATAGACACAGCTTTAAAAATCAGAATCTGATATGAAAAGATGCTCAACATCACCAATGATCAGGGAATGCAAATCAAAACCTCAGTGTGATACCACCTTGCTCAAGCAAGAATGGCCATAATTTAAAAATCAAGAAATAATAGATGTTGGCGTGGATGTGGGGAATAGGGAACACTTCTACACTGCTGGTAGGAATGTCAACTAGTACAACCACTGTGGAAAACAGTGTGGAGATTATCCTTAAAGAACTAAAATTAGAACCACGATTTGATCCAGCAATCCTACTTTCAGGTATCTATCTGGAGGAAAAGTAGTCATTATATGAAAAAGACATTTGTACACACATGTTTATAGAACTACAATTCGAAATTGCAAAAATACGGAACCGGTGCAAATGCCCATCAATCAACTAATGGATAAAGAAAAGGTGGTATATGGGCAGGGCGTGGTGGCTCGTGCCTGTAATCCTGGCACTTTTGGAGGCCAAGGCAAGTGGATCACCTGAGGTCGGGTGTAGGGCTGTTGGTCCCACAAGGTCGTGGGTTGTCCTTTATGCTGTGCTGAGGTGCAGGGCCTGAGAAGTAAAGAGACAGGATGCTGAAGAACTGGTGAAGAGCAGCTGGACTCGGGGGGCCACGCCACTTATGAGCAGAGACTGGCAAGGCCCCGAATGCCCGGAAGCATCTGTATTTTTTACGTACAAGCAGGGGGAAGGGTTGTAAGTGAGGTCATCATCTGTAGGCTTAGTGATAGGGCATACATAATCACGTGAGTCACAATCGAAGGGGCCACCCCATTATGTCATCTGGACAGAGAGGTGGGCCATGTGCAGTAGGGGGCCATGCTGTGTGCAGTAGTAAAGGGTCGTGTACAGAAAAGGGGTCCACCCCCATTAGGTCACTGAGGCAAGGAGGTGGGCTATGTGCAACAGGTGTCATGCGCAACACTTCTTATCTGGGGGCTGGAGACTTCAAAGGGTTTCTAATAGAAGGATAACTAAGCCAATGCAGTGGGAGCTGACAGACTTGTGCTCTTCTCTTAAGATATTTATGGGAGGATGATTTGAGCTAGCACAGAAGTGAGAAAGGTGACTGGGTGTACAGCCGCTGTGACTGGTCACACCAGAGGGGCTCTTCTCTCTTGGTTATTTGCGGGATTTCAGGCCTGAGGCCTACTTTCCACTGGAACTGGATGCAAGGTATTACAACTCCTTTATCAGGAGAAGAGGCTCTTGCTCCAAGCCTGCCATACAGCATATGCCCTTTCAGGCAGGGACGCCACTGCCTGGGTCTTTGGTTCTTGTCCTGGTCTAGCTGTTTTCCCATGTACTGCTTCTGTTCTGTGACTGCTCTAGGCATTCCTCCTACTACAAACTACTATATATATGGTTATATAGTAGGATTATATAAATCAGCACTAAATGTGTCAGTACAGCTCTGACTACATCCATTATATGATTATATAGAAAGATTATATGGGATTAAGTATGATTATATTTATAAGCTAGATATAAATAAGCAGTGAATTATACTTCAGGCACTAATTGTGCCTGGGGTCTGCACAGTTCTCCTTCCTTGGTGCCCATGGGAGGGTTGTTATCCACAGTCGGGAATTCGAGACCTGCCTGGCCAACATAGTGAAACCCTGTCTCTACTAAAAATACAAACATTAGCCGGGCATGGTGGCACGCGCCTGTAATCCCAGAATTGTGCCACTGCACTCCAGCTTGGGCAACAGAGTGAGACTCTATCTACAAAAAAAATAAAATAAAATAAAATAAAATGTGATACATGTGTACCATGGAATACTACTCAGCCATAAAAAGGGATGAAATAATGTCATCTGCAGCAATCTGGATGGGATTGGAGACCGTCATTCTAAAATAAGTAACTCAGGAATGGAAAACCAAACATCGTATGTTCTCGCGCATAAGTGGGAGCTAAGCTATGAGGATGCAAAGGCATAACAATGACATAATGGGCTCTGGGGGTTCAGGGAAGGATGGGAAGATGGGTGAGGGATAAAAGACCACACATTGGGTGCAGAGTACACTGCTCGGCTGATGAGCACATCAACATCTCAGAAATCATCACTAAAGTACTTATCCACGTAACCAAACACCACCTGTTCTCCAAAAACTATTAGTCAAATAATTTATTAGAAAAAAATTATAGCTGAAAAAAAATCAGAATCAATGTTTCAGCGTTTCATCTGAGTGTCTGTCCGGAAAGAAGTCTTTTTTTCTTTTTTTTTTTTTTTTTTGAGACAGAGTTTCGCTCTTGTTACCCAGGCTGGAGTGCAATGGCGCGATCTCGGCTCACCGCAACCTCCGCGTCCTGGGTTCAGGCAATTCTCCTGCCTCAGCCTCCTGAGTAGCTGGGATTACAGGCACGCGCCACCATGCCCAGCTAATGTTTTTTTTGTATTTTTAGTAGAGACGGGGTTTCACCATGTTGACCAGGATGGTCTCGATCTCCTGACCTCGTGATCCACCCGCCTCGGCCTCCCAAAGTGCTGGGATTACAGGCTTGAGCCACCACGCCCGGCCTTTTTTTTCTTTTTTTGAGATGGAGTCTTGCTTGTTGCCCAGGCTAGAGTACAGTGGTACAATCTCAGCTCACTGCAACCTCTACCTCCTAGGTTCAAGTGATTCTTCTGCCTCAGCCTCCCAGGCAGCTGGTATTACAGGTGTGCACCACCATGCCTGACTAATTTTTTTGGTATTTTTAGTAGAGACAGGATTTTGCCATGTTGGCCAGGCTGGTCTCGAACTCCTGAGCGCAAGTGATAGACCCGCCTTGGCCTCCCAAAGTGCTGGAATTAAAGGTGTGACCCACCATGCCTGGCCAAGAAGTCTTTACATGGGGTAAAGCTTTATAAAAGTTTCACATGGGGTAAAAGCTTCATAAAAACGTTTATTGACCCAGTAAGCACTTTCTGGATTTGTGTTTACTTCTATCAAACCTGCATTTCATATGCAGTTTCTTCAGAACCCAGTCTGATAAGCTAAAGGGTACAGGCATTTCAGATCTTTTCAAGGTAAGCATAACAGCGTATCAAAGACTCTGGGGAAGCAGGAAACCTGAGCAGCACCATCCCCACCCCCATCCCTCCTCTTCTCTCCCTCTCCCTCTCTCTGCTGAGTTTTCATATTTGTAGTATTTTGCATGTCCTGATGTTGATGAAAATCAGGATGTGTAGTTAACATTTTAGACGACAGAACTTATAGCACACTCTCCGATGCTAATTGATCGTATTTTATTAATGTCATGTTTCTTCATCCAAAAGCAGATTTCTCATCTATGTGGAAGGCAGAAAGCAGATGCTAATACCGAATGAATGCTTAACTGTAAAACTAAAAGAGGATTCTAGTTCTTCGTAAACAACACTTAATTCCAACGCAGAGCAGAATCAGAAAGGTTAATTTTTAAACATCTACACTTTGTTTATTTTCAAGTTAACCATTTTTGTGCAGAAGAAATATTTTCATGTGTAAGAAATTAGACCTTATTGTACATATACAAACTTGGAATTATGCTAAGAATGAAAAAGGCTTCTCTATAAAGATACAGACTACAGTTAAGTACTAGAGAAGCTCTTTAAAAGTGTAAACGTCAAATAGAGAAAGAACCCCTGCATATAAAGTGCTGTTTTAACTCTCTGATTTTTAAAAAATCTGTGCATACAAATTTAAATTATAAACAATAGCTTATCAGAGTCAGGTCAAAATATTTGAGAAATAGTATTCTCTCATGGTTTTAGCTCTTGACTTTGCTGTGTAAATAGACGTAAAGTGCTTTGAAATAAAATGTGACTGGAAAATAGCTCCTTGGTTACTCAAGGTCCTTCTGTCCCAAGCTGAGCAGAGCCCCATTTTCCTGGGTCTATAGCAGTCCCACCTGCTTACACAAACAAAAGCTTGCTGGCAGATCAAGTTTTATATGCATTTTAAAAAATCCTAAAGACTAAAGCACTTCCGTTTTAACTTGTAAAATAATTTAATTTTTTAAAGAATATACTCTGTGCCTCTGTGTCTTTTCTGAAAGAATTGATCAGCTTCAGTCAATAAAAGATATTTTTAATACTAAAGAAAAAATATGTTTCCTTGGTTTCTTTTTATTTCACAGGAGTAAAATAAGGAAGGTCCATCGCTTTAAACTGAACCTGGCAAGTTAATTTCCTCAGGAATGGGAACGTATTTTTTTAAGCATTGCAGATATCAAAGTTCTATTGTGCTGAATAAATGCCCCTTTGTTAACAGGTTTCAGTGTTACTTCAGAGATGATTTTCTTTTTCTTTTTTTTTTTTTTCAGACGGAGTTTCACTCTTG